TGCTGTCAGGGGCTCCCCACGCCGAGGCCCCAGCTCTCACCCGCTTCTCCCTGCACCCAGCGAGCCCTGCGGCTTCGAGCCCACGTACCAGGAGCTGGCGAGTGCCGTGAAGGAGGAGTACCCCGACATTGAGATTGAATCCAGGCTGGGGGGCACAGGTAAGGGTCCATAACAGCCCTGCCGGTGCCGTGCAGGGGTCACTGCTGGGGTGCACTGTGGTTGGGGTGATCCCAGCCTGCCCCCACTGTGGTGCTAGGTGCCAGCCCTGTCTTTGGGGAGGGCAGGAAGGCTGAGCTGGTGTAAACCTTGCAGCGAGGCTGCGGGAGTCTGCATCTCACTTGCCCGAGCACTGCATATCGCAGGGGCTGCCCCTCACCAAGGTCTCAGGGAGTGCAGAGACTCTGGAGCCTGGGGGGTCTGCTGGGAGCAGGGTAGGAGCCCCCCAAGCTCTCCAAGGGTGCACTGTGCACTGCCAGCCTGGCCCTGCCGCTGGGGGTACAGCCTGGCAGGTCTGGGGGTGCCACTGTGGCGTTTCTGCCTCCCAGATGCTTTTCCTGGGGGTTGGTGTGGCAGGAACGGCTGCAGGATGGGTGTGGGGGTTGGCAGCAGCGTGCAGGGCAGGAGCATGGCTTAGGGCTCGGCCCTCTGTGCTTTTAAGGTGCCTTCGAGATTGAGATCAACGGGCAGCTGGTCTTCTCCAAGCTGGAGAACGGAGGCTTCCCCTACGAGAAGGATGTAAGTAGCCAGGCCCACAGTTCCTTACGTTAGCCAGGCTGGTGGCCACGGGCAGGTTTGTTTTTTGCAGCAAGCTCCCCTGTGACTGATTTTTCCCTCCATGTCTCCATTTTGTCACCCATCAACTCTGCCCGAGCTCTGGTAAATGCTTCACGATCCTATCGGGCATTGTTCCCCTTCCCGCCACCCTGCCAGGACCTGCTCCAGGTCCTGCTGCAGTACAGTCTGAGCCTGAGCCGCCCCTTGCGTGGGGAGAGTGGGGACGGTTCCTGGAGCTCCTGCCTTGGTGTGGCTGTGATTTGGGCCCATGGCACTACCTGGCCTCCACACATTGCATCCAATTGCTTCCCACCGCTGCATCCGCCCACCCTGAGCGCTCCTTCCCACACCAGCGAGGCTGGCCTGGAGTGTGACCCCCTCCCCTCTGTCTCCTCAGCTGATCGAAGCGATTCGCAGAGCGAGGAATGGGGAACCGCTGGAGAAAATCACCAACAGCCGCCCCCCCTGCGTCATCCTGTAGCCCTGCACCCCGCTGGGGTCTCCCAGCACCCAGCAGCCAGCTCCCGGCCCCCTTGGTGCCCCCCCCCGCTTCGTTCCTCGCTGCCTTCGTTAGCTTCCTGCACACCCGGGGGACCGGGGATGTTGGGGGAAATGCGAGAGCATAACGAGCCTCCTGGGGAATTGGGGATGAGGGCTGGGATGGGCAGAGCTGTGGTACTGGTGTCACTGGGCTGGCCACACTGGGGCGGG